GGGTACAAAAAAAATTCGAGATAAGTCGAATGGGTACCCTTATATTAATAGGATATTAATAATTAAATTTTTGGAAAATACAAAATATAAGGAATTATTAAATTTTATATAATAAATTTTTTTGTATAAAAGTATATAGTGTTCTTTAAAATCCCATTATAATAGGTTCGATTTATCTCGAATAGTTGGTACCCGAAAAACTTTTGTACTCATATAAAAATTTTAATAACGCATGTATTTTATTATTATTAAATATATTTCTTCGTAATCACTGTTGCGTAAGGAAATCATTCCATCCGTTTATTTTTAATAAGGAATGATTTTTAGTGATGCGTGGCAGAACATTTTTCGTGAATTTTAATATTATATTAAAGATGTGATAAATATGTAATTGTAATTGACATTCTATCAAAATTATTATTATCGTAAGTAGTTTGAAAGATTCGAGATTCACATCCTCTTGTAACAAGATCACTGATATTTGATGAATTAACTTTTCTTTGCAAATGAATCTTGTGAATTTTACGTAGAATCAGAATACATTACGTTTGCTCTCCATTATGAAGATTGTTCTTCTTTCTTGTATCGGATATTAAACAGTATATCACAAGGCGGAGAGATATTGATATTGAGATAGTTATCTTGAACGCAATGAAAGTGCTGTTATAAATATATTAATGACTTTTTATCGCGATATTATTAAGTTTTATATTTGTAAATTAATAATTAATAGTAAATACGATCTATTATTGTTAGTATTTCTTCTATGTTTTTATCAATATTTCATTAAAATATAAAATTTCATTGGTTTAGAAAAATTTGTGTTATCGTATGTATTTTCGACATTTTCGTATAATTCTGCATTATTAAAATTTATTAATTATGCTTCTATATATTATCATTTTTATTATATTTTGAACAGTTTATCAATACTGTATTGTATTAGGTGTACAATTTTGCTTCCGAAATTCGAGACTTTATTGTAAAAAACTGGTTATACATTTATGATTCAAAGTATTGTCCATCGCTGGCCACTACTTTCTCCCATCTTTCGGGTAGCGTACGAATCCCGCGTCGAAAAAACTGGTCATCTTTTGAGGCTATCCACGAATCGATCCAATTTTTTACTTCTT